CAGGGCCGTACGCAGCGGGGGGGGGGGCAGCAGGGGCAGTTGCCCCCCTAGAGATTTTCAGAGTATGCCTTTTAATGGGACAAATAGGGCAATAGAGGGCGTGGAGAGTACCTTTGCCCCCCCTACAGAAAATTTCCTGCGTATTTGCCCACCTACAGAAAATTTCTTGCGTACGGCCTTGATTGTATAGTGTAACACATCTGATGCAAAATTCCATCCGACACAGAAAAAACAGAAAATGCTAATGTGCACGTATGCATACATTTAGTAAGCACAAGAATGGGCTCATGCATGCACACACGCTCAATTACACAATCACAACTACCCTTAGGAATTCTTCAATCTAACGATTGATCAAGTTGATGATCAAACTACTACGTCAATTGAAGCACATAATGTATAGAATTATGCTGCAAATGAATGACAAGTCCATGAGAATGACAAATAATACCACTCTATGCTGTTTACTTGCCCCCATACTTGGCATTTTGCCTATAATCATTATAATAAAATATCATTTAATGAATAGCAAACAGAATAAATTTCAGCTGTTAGATTACATAACTAAATGCATATTTGTTAAAATCAAATTATTCCGATATATCCATTTACATGTCAAGTACATTGATTTCTTTGATGACACTATTGAAAACCAATTGACAATTCAGTTTCTACTACCATATCTGTTACACAAACATAAGTCACTGAAGAAATGATAGTATGACAGTGGAATATGTTTCAGCAAAACAATAAGCATGAGTGTACAATAACTATGCCTTAGGCGCAGCAACTTGGTCCACCTTCACCGCATACCTTGGCATCTTCACTGACTGCAACATCAAATGGGTTCACTGCCGCGACCTGTTGGACGGAAACGACACAATCAACATATCACTAAGTTATTTTTTTATAATCATTCACCACACGTGAACAATTTATGTTACACTTCACCCCATTGATATGCTGTAACAACTGCGACCTCCTAGCAAACAGAAATAGCAACCTTACTTCCATTAGTCTTAGCATCCTTTAAAGCCGCACTATGCGCATCCAAACGCTAATTTCTCCAGTACTAGACTAGCAAATACTTCGTGTCATGCATAATCACACTACCTTATGGCAAAATAAACTCTAGTTCCTTCCATTTCACAGCGTTTGCTTAAAACCCAAAAGAAAGAGGTGAGAAATCTGGTAATCTGGCGCCAATGCCGACTTGTTTGCCAAACAATTTAGCCTCGAAGCGGTTAGGTGACGTCACATGTTTTTATCTTTGCTACACCCGTACCGCTGTACCGCAGCACCGCTGCACGGTTGCTTGGGAGAGCAACGCAAAACTGTCAACAACATCAGAGAATTTGAACAACATTGGAGGTATTTTCAAATGCCTTTTATAAGACAATGCGCAGTGAAATGGGAGGAACTAGAGTTTATTTTGTCATAAGGTAGTATGATTCTGCATGACACGAAGTATTTGCTATAGTACTGGAGAAATTAGCGTGTAGATGCGCATAGTGCGGCTTTAACACAAAACCGCATAAATTATTGTTATTACAACGGTCAGATGTTGGTTGCACTCTCTTGCACTTGGTTGGTACATGTGTCATAAAATATCACTAGAAGGTAATAGAGTAACAGACGTCAGTGAGGTACTTGCCTGGGACTCGGTAGCACAGCATGGCGCCGGCTCATACTTAAATTCATCCCGATAGCGGCTGCACTTTAGGATAACAGCAAGATTTCCGCTCACACACAAGGGCTCGTCCTTCTGCAATCATTATACAACACATTTTGCTACTCGCACTATGGAATCACAGGCTCCATACACATAGAGTATTGTTTCAGGAATTTTCTAGGACTTTTCCAAGACTCTGGGACCTATTGTCAAAAAAACAATTGAATTTTTCGCATAGACTGTTGACAGAAACAAGTTACGAGTTTCTCATAAACAGTGTATCCGGTCCATAAGAAAATGATACTGTTAAAACTAATCTTGTTTCTGACAACGGAACCGAACTATATGTATATATATGTATATATCAGGAGTTAATAAAGACCTATTATTGTGGTTTGTCTTTATTAACTATATATATAATTATAATAATATATATATATACTACACAAACGATGCTTCATTAGCAATTCAAAGAACCACAACATATAAAAGCCAGCATTTAATATCAAACCCTGACAGGCTTTTTTTACAACAATGTGATGCCATTAAAATGAGTGTAAAATTAAATTATTTCGAGTTGCATTGACATAGAAATATCCATTTATACATCGGCTACTGTGGCAAAAATCGAAACGGTAAAATCAGCGTTTTTCTACTTTTCACAATAATCGATCGCCTGTGTGCGGAATGGGTGAACGTATGTGAAACATACGTCTGCGACATAACCATGATTATACTAATTGAAACCACTAAATTGGTAAAATGTTCTGTGCATCTTGAGAAGTAAAGGTAAAATTTTACTAAACGTAACTAATCTGCGTGTCAACAAACTCGGGCTGTGGTAACAAGGCAAACATGTTATTTTAGACCGCGCGGAAATTTCAACTATCACAGGCAGTTGATGGCTGTAGGAGGGTCGAGGCTGATAGATTCCGACATAATGAATACTGTGAACAGAATGGTTGGACCGCGTCTCTGACATCATCAGTAAATGTGTTTAAATGGCCACGGCTAACCACACACGTACGCGGGCAATCCAAACGCTCTGAAAGCTTACATACATTGGTATATGAAGAAATAAGAATGTACAGAGGTGGTACCTGGTGTTATCCATTGAATAAAACTGATAATGAAAAATCAGTGAAATTTCGCATTAAACCTCGAGTGTATCCCAGGGTAAAAAATACACGGGAGCGATGAGCGATTCGCTCTTCAAACCTCCGAAATCGCTCCCATGAGGCTCAAAATAGCTCCCGTAAAATTTTTGACGAGAGCTATTTTTTCCACAGACTTCTGAAAAAGAGCTCCCGTGAAAAAAACGCAATTTTCCCCCTGGTGTATCCTTAAGCGCAATGCGAATGGTATACTATTTTGTACTTCACCACTGAGATACCATCATGCGTGTCTTAGTTCTACAGCCCGGTGAGGTATAAGTACCAGTGCAGTCTATTTGCATTTCAATACAGTTCTGAGAATGCTGTGGTCTTGTCAGTCTGCTTGGTCATTGCGCAAGTCACAACAACACATTATGTACCACAAACGGACCACGAGCATACGTGTACACACGCTTGCATGCACCCACACGTGCACACACACATATACACACATGTATACAAACATGCACTCCTGCACACACACATGATTAACTAAAGGCCTATTTACACGATGCGTCCTAGACGTACGTCCTAGATGTACGTCTAGGACGTACGTCCAAAACGCACCGTGTATGACAATGCAAACGTATGACCCTTGCGATATCGGATGCACAGGATGGATGTTCTAATTTCTTCCGACATTGCGTTTGCATTGTCATACACGGTGTACGTCCTAGACGTACGTCTAGGACGCATCGTGTAAGTAGGCCTTTACGTCCACAGTTCATATACTATTCATTTAGTCATGTTTTACAAAGATACATCATGATCACAATAGCGAACAGGTATACGATCCCTGAATCACATGACAATGATTCTGAAGAAATCACGCAATACGAAATATGATGAGATGGTGGTTGACATCATCAACAACTAACCTTAAAGGAGATATTCTTGTCCAGTATGAACTCATCTGGCAATCCCTCCAATTCTCCCTTGTACACCACGTTGACAGGCTTTCCATCTCCTTGTGTCGAGCACTTGAAAAGGCGATACTCAGCGGAGACAAACTTGTAATCTCCTGATCGAGAAAAGGAACATGACCGTTAGCAAGTGATTGTCAGTATCGGCTCTACATGACGACAGAATAACACAACGATAGTTACTCCAAGGTTTCAGCACAATTAGATAACGTGACTCAAAATAACGCGCATTTATAAACGTCGTGATTTACCGACGAAATTTCTATCTAATATAGCAAAAAAGCGCTCGCTTGGTTCTTATTGAAGATATCACACTGATTTACTGTTTATGAGCAGGTGTGACACTGTCACACAACATACCGACAAGTTCACGCAGTTTAGAGCTTTTGCTATTGATGCTGATCTCCCGAGAGGAAATCAGCATCGGTGTGCTAAAGCCAACTTCCTCTGCAATCTTCCCAAGATCCTTCCAATAGAGAGCGCCAGAGATGCACTCACCTGTTTGGAAATATCAAGCAGACAATCACGATCTTGTAGTCCAGCTGCACTGGTGTCTAGCACTAAACCCCACCGATGTCACCGAACAAACCGCGTACATCACACGCTCGCTCAAGTATTCAAGTCAGTATGTACTCCATTATTAGTCCTGCCACGTGAATTATCCCAAACCAACCCAATGTTTAACGTGCCTACTCACCCCACAGTACTTCGTGCTTGCGGATATTGTCAGGCAGATCACAGTTTGCATACAAGTCGCTGAAATAAAATTCTCCTCCGTCCTGCAAATGGGACCATTCTGCTCTGTACTTACTGATGCAATCAATTACATCAAACACTAAAGAAATGTCAAAACTCTAATGTTAATAATACTTAAATGCTAAATTGCTTGGTAGGCTAATTATTTTGTGACATTTGGGCAGAATGAGTCTGAATGACTGTACCTTGAGGACTTTGTAGATCTCCCCAAGAGCAGCACGTTTATCTGGGACAAGGTTAACCACACAGTTTGATCTGTAAAAATGACATAGCATGTTGGTTAGAGGTCATCTGCCATAGTGATACTATTTAATGTCATCTTAAAATAAATCACGTTCAAAAATTAAGCCAATGACCTGTGCTACATTTAAGCATTGTACATACAATGCTTAAAATTATATTTTTTACCGTGTTCTATAGTAATATCAAATAATAAGTGGAGCTCAACTTGGTGGATCTCATTTTTAATTAACATTTTTTATTACACCCCTGAACTATCAGTCGTAATCACTTGAAAATCACCTACACCAACAGATACATTACAGCAAAATTATTACAAAAAGGTTTAAAACTTAAAACAATGCTGTTTTTACTTAGTATACTCTACGGGTACTAAGTGTGTACAATGTGTACTCACATGACAAGGTCATAGTTGTTCTCCTTTATGCCGGCTTCAATTGGCCTTTCAATGTAGCCAAGTACGAAATCTGTGTTGGGTTCTGCATAGCCAAAGACCTTTGCATGGTAGTCAATATGTTTGCGAGCAACCGCGACCTAGGCATCAGCAACTGGATTAGTTCGCTGTAAAGCTTTCCAGTAAATGTACTAATCACTCCAATTACAAATTCTTGTGACTAATCACAACTCGGAATCAACATCTATTTGAAGTGGATGAATTAAGCTAAGTACTACACTGACGCATTAAACCACCTTGTATCCATACCTGTTCTTCCGTCATATCCAGACCTGTTACCTGTCCTGTCTCTCCAACAAGCTTGGACAGAGCATAGCAGTCTCTTCCACTGCCACTTCCAAGATCAAGGACATGGGCACCGTGCAGGCATGGAGGAATGACTATACCACACCCATAGTACCTACAAGGTAGAGAACAGGTGTCAATGCAAAATTATTACTATACACTCATGAAGCCAATAGCTGTAGCGATTTGCTACGTTTACTGAAATTATGTAGAACGTATTATGTGTAAATCTGTAGCTAACCATACTGTAAGTATAGCATAACATTTGTGCAATACGCTAGCAAAATATATCTCACTCATTTCACTCATTTCACTCATCTCACTCATTCAGCTACCCCTTGAGAGCCCTGACAGTGTCAGTATATACAGTAAATGTACTGTACCCAACATTCAACCACAGAAAATGCTTCGTCATTGCATTAGTACTGGTCCCACCTATATAATGACAATGCATTTTCTGTATTTGAAAAATTAGATACAGTACACTGTATATGTACTGTACACAACTTTCAACCACAAAAAATGCTTCGTCATTGCGTTACCATTGGTACTGCATGGTGCCACCAATGACAATGCGTTTTCTCTATTCGAAAATTAGCCAGCCTTAATCCGGGCGCACACGTGGCAATTTTTATCGCTAGTACAGGGGGACCCACCGACAATGCAACGATCCGTTAGACAATGAAACGACAGTGCAGCAAACACTTGGCGATTGTTCAGCGACTCGGCAACAAATATCAAACATGTTTGACCATGTTTGATATTCCAGCGACGAGTTTCTGGCGTCAAAATCGCCATTGGCATCTTGTATATTGGGGTCCCTCTCTTGTATTTCACAAGGAACTGATTCTCTTCTTTTTGGAATGTGCAGGGAATTTATTCTTCTTCTTATTCTTCTTCTTATTCTTGTTCTTATTCTTATTCAGCAGTCAGTTCAGGTAGTCAGCCTTTAGCCAAATGGCACTGAGGGTGGTCACAGACAGAGTTCCTTTGCGCCCTTAGTGGTTCTTTTACGTCCCCATTGGCTAGTATTTCTGGAGACGGGACCGCCATTTTACGTGGTCATCCGAGCCACGGGAGATTCAGTCTCCAATGTTGAGAGCTAGGTTTTTACACCTTGAGAAAATTCAATGCCCCGACCGGGGTTTGAACTCGCAGCATTCAGTGGACAGTCCACGATGCCTACCACTGGGCCACGGTGGATCTAATTAGAGCGTGCCTTATCTGCTCTCATTACCACTGCCTCACGGATCGAGGTGCAGCGCACACCTCGCGATCTCTCGGCGATTCTGTCACCGGCAACAAAATCGCTAGTCCGAGATTCCTCTGACCAATGCCCACACC